TTAATATAGTTAAAAAACAACACTCTAATGCCATTTCTCACATCTCAAAAAGACCTGAAGACTGCTCCAGGTGTCAGAATGGTGGTGCGATATACAGTTCACCACAATCTGGATGGACTGATGGGGCTGCAGGGCACAAGCAGGGACCAGCTGCAAGATGGTAAATCGGTGTTGTCTCTCCTCTCACTCTCCCCTCTCACTTATTTCGATTGGCTCTATATAATGCTTTTGTGCTTTACAAAGCAACTGGACATAGCAGATCCTTCCTAAAATTCCAGGAAGAGATCACCACGGCCCTTTTGTATCCAAAAGGTGGTATGACCCAAACCTTCAACCCAGATGCAGTTAGCCAGTTGCATGAGAGGCATTTTCCCGATGTCATTCCTGGTACCCCAACCCAAAGGACTGCTTCCGTCACTACCAGACACTATTACACTATAGACTATTAGTATAGGGTACAGCATACCACAGTTAAGGCACATATATGCACAGGGTCTCCAAAGATGTTAGGTAGTCAGGAAACTGGCTATCGCATTTTGAGCTGGTTAAAATGTAAAAAAAGTTAAAAAAAAGCATACAAAATATAAAAAGTAAAACAAAAATTAAAATTAAACAACAGGGTCTTGCTCTCAGAATATACATAAGTAAGTGTTTGCAGCACTGTTGGATGAGATTTTTCATCTGCAGTTAAAAAAAGAGTATATATGCTCAAGCATAGGGGCCTGGGGTAGCCAGTGGGTGGATGGCCCCTATGCTTCGGCATATATTTTAAAAAAAATTTGGGCAGAGATTTCTTCATCCACATTGACCCATGTGAATAGAGGAATCTGTTAGGTTCCTTTTTCTTTCATTCAGCCCACAGGCTGAATGAAAAAAAACAAACATTTCATGTGTGCCCACCATTAGAAGTGGGTGGATGCAGGGCGGTATATTCTATTGGTGGGCATACCACACACACTTTTTCTGGCAGAGATTTCTTCTCTTTTTTCATTCAGCCCACAGGCTGCATGAAACAAAAAGAACATATATACTCAACAAGTACCAGCGATGTACTGGTACATCACTAAACTTTGAGTGGTTATACCAGGATGATGCCTGCAGCTAATTTTTTTTGGCCGGCGATTGACTTTCGTGTAAAAGCAATCCTAGTGGCCAATTAGCTGCAGGATTGCTTTTACAAGCAGCAGGAGAAGATGCCCCCCCCCCCACTCTGCCTTCCACAGATTTCTCGGGCAGTCCTGTACCATCGGGGGAACCTGAGAATACAGCCGGTGTTTCTGCCAGCTGAGCATAGACCTGATTGGAGACTGGAATGGTGTCAATCATCTCTATAGTCTAAGAAATCAGAAGCTATGAGCATTTAATCACTTCAGTTTCGCAGGATATAAACAGCGCCATTTTTTAATTGGGAAAGCATCTGATCACACTGATCTTGGTGAGATGAGATCATGTAAGGGCAGAGAAGATATCTAGAGTCTAATAGACCCCAGATTTCTCAGAAAAGAATACCTGTCAATGCCTAACGCAGTCACAGGGGATATATACATTACCTGTAATAGCAATAAAAGTGAAAAAAGGGACAGTGTAAAAATATTTTTAAAAAATCAAGATAACAAACAAAAAGCACCCTTGCCCCCATCCCCCCCCCCCCCACGTGCGCAAGCATTGACCCCATTCCGGTATGTAAACAGCGGTTGCACCATGAATTGAGGGATCGAGGGAGGTAATTTTAGACCTAGGCATCCTGTGTAAATCTAAAATGGTAACCAGTAAATCTTTTAAAGTGTTACCTATGGATATTAAAAATGCATGCAGTTTGTCACCATTACACGGGGGGTGCGCAGTTTTAAAGCATGCCATGTTTTGGTATCTATTTACTAAACATACCATCATATTTTATATTTTACCAAACAATTGGCCAATATGTTGTGTTTTTGTGCATTAAAAGTAAAAAAGTGTATTTTCAAAAACAAATTTGAGTTTGAAAAATTGCTGCGCGAGTACTATGTGACATAAAAAAGTGCAGCACCCACCATTTTATTCAATCACTAGGGTGTCTTTTTAAAAAAATATATATAATTTTTGGGGGTTCAAAGTAATTTCCTATAAAAAAACCCCCTGATTTTTTCATGTGAACAAAAAGTGTCAGAAAAGGCTTGGTCTTCAGGTGGTTAGAAGAGTGAATGATGTGTGGCATAAACTTCTAACGCTGGGCATAAAATGCCCCCACCCCCAAAATGACCCCTTTTTGGAAAGTAGACACCCCAAACTATTTTCTGAGAGGCATATTGAGTCAATAGAAGAATTATTTTTTAGTTCCAGTTTTTGGAAAATGACAAAAAAAAGTAAAATTTTTTTTTACACAAAGATGTCACTTAAATGATATATTGCTTACACATGTCATGGATATATGTGGAATTACTCCTCAAAATACATTCTGCTACTTCTCCGGAGTATAGTGATACCACATGTGAGGGACTTTTTGGCAGTCTAGCCGTGTACAGGACCCCAAAATCCAATAAGCGCCTTCAGGCTTTTTAATAGCTTAATTTCCTCATTACAGTTTCTGACTACCTATCACAGTTTGGGAGGCCCTGAAATACCACATCAGTACGACCCCCCCCCCAAAAAAAGACCCATTTTTGGAAAGTAGATACCCCAAGGAATTTTATAAGAAGCATGGTAGTATTTTGCAGATCTAGTTTGTTGCCACAAGTCTTTGGAAAATGAAGAGAGAAATCAAAAACATATATTCTCTTTTCTTTTTTTATTTTTCAGAACCTTGTGATAAAAAATTAGATCTGCAAAATATTCACACTGCCTCTTTTTAAATTCCATGGTGTGTCTACTTTCCAAAAATGGGTCATTTGGGGGGGGGGGGGGGGGGGGGGTGCTATCCTGGCATTTCAGGGCCTCCGAAACTGTGATCGGTAGTGAGGAAGTGAAATGAATAAGTTAAGCACCTTCAAGCTTTCAAAGTGGTCATTGGATTTTGGGCTCCTGTATGTGGCTAGGCTCCCAAAAAGTCTCACACATGTGGTATCCTCATACTCAGTAGAATTAACAGAATGTATTTTGGGGTGTAATTCCACATACACCCATGGCATATGTGAGCAGTATACCATTTAAGTTACAACTTTGTGTAAAACAAAACAAAAAACCACTATAAATATATATATATATATATATATAGTATATATATATATATATATATATATATATATAAAACTTTCACACAAAGCAATTAATATACACTTATTGGGATTGTTTTTTTATCAAAGATATGTAGCAGAATACATTCTGGCCTACATTTTTTACTAACTTTGAGTTTACCATATATTTTTTTATAACTGAAATTAAAAAATATTTTTTTTTTCAAAACTTTCGGTCTTTTTTTGTTTATAGCGCAAACAATAAAAAACACAGATGTGATCAAATACCACCAAAAGAAAGCTCTATTTGTGTGAAAAAAGGACATAAATTTGTTTGAGTACAGCATTGCATGACAGTGCAATTACCAATTGAAATAGCGCAGCACCATAACACAAAAAATGGCCTGGTCTGGCGGGCAGATGGATAATTGATGTTTGCATTTCTTTGCTGAATAAACCTGATTAAATATTTACATGTTTGGATTGATTTACTAAAGGCAAATAAAATGTTCACTGTGCAAGGTTTTTTTTTCTTTTAGCTTAACGAGCTCTGCCAACCTCCATCATCCATTCATGTCCAGGCAAAAATACTATTCTTTTGACTTTCCATGCACATGGTTGGGTATTCTTCACACATTTTCACCACATTCACTAAGGGAAAATTCCCTTGCAAAGTAAAAACTTTTAGCAAATCAACTCCATTGATATAAAGTTAACCCCTTGGCACCGGCCTCCTGGCCCTATAAGGGGTTTGTGATGCTGGGAGGTGGGACGGTGTTTATGATCATATGACTGCCATGATTGGATGTCACAGTGGTCACATAATTGGAAATCTCCTGATTGCAAGTAGCGTTTGGGAGCTTTGCCATAGGTGCTGGTAACTGTGTCGGGAGCAAGCAAGGTGCGCGCTCTTGGCACATGTTTTTTTACATCTGTTACACAAATATGCGGCCTCTTAGTGTTAGAGCCCACCCTCCGAAAGGCTGCATATTTGCGTACTGCCGGCGCCAGGAGGTTAAGCTGCAGAAAATTAAATACACATTTAAAATATGTTTATATAAACGTCTTGACCTTTCAATGGATTTATAATTGTGTGACACAGACACCGTAGACAAGAAAGCATACCGTAGAAAGCATACCTTGGTCAAAGACCAATCCCCAACCTGTTGCCTGGACAGAGCACCATCACACTGATTGAAGCATTTTCAACAGTACCAAATAACACTGCCTGTAGAGTTAGATTATCTGGTCCCCCATTTACAATCTGTTGTGTTTAGGATTACAAGAAGGAAGGAAACATAACAGAAATAAGGTGACACTAAACATTATACAACTTTATTGCCAAAAGTGTTGGGGCACCTGCCTTTACACGCACATGAACCAGTCTTAGTCCGTAGGGTTCAATATTGAGTTGGCCCACGCTTTGCAGCTATAACAGCTTCAACTCTTCTGGGAAGGCTGTCCACAAGGTGTAGGAGTGTGTCTATGGGATTGTTTGATCATTCTTCCAGAAGCGCTTTTTTGAGGTCAGGCACTGAGGTTGGATAAGAAGGCCTGGCTCATAATCTCCGCTCTAATTGATCCCAAAGGTGTTCTATTGGGTTGAGTTCAGGACTCTGTGCAGGACAGTCAAGTTCCTCCATCTATGTCATGTCCTTATGGACCTTGCTTTGTGCACTGGTGCGTAGTCATGTTGGAAAAGGAAGGGGCAATCTCCAAAGTTGGGAGAATAAAATTGTCCAAAATTGTTGGTATGCTGATGCCTTAAATGTTCCCTTCACTGGAACTAAGGGGCCAAGCCCAACCCCTAAAAAACAACCCCACACCATAATCCCCCTCCACCAAACTTTACACTTGGCACAATGCAGTCAGGCAAGTACCGTTCTCCTGGTAACTGCTGAACCCAGACACGTCCATCAGATTTCCAGACAGAGAAGCGTGATTTGTCATTCCAGAGAACATGTCTCCACTGCTGTAGAGTTCAGTGGTGGCATGCTTTACACCACTGCATCTGACACTTTGCATTGCACTTGGTGATGTAAGGCTTGGATGCAGCTGCTCGGCCATGGAAACCCATTCCAAGAAGCTCTCTACTCACTGTTGTGCTAATCTGAAGGCCACACGAAGTTTGGACGTCTTTAGCTATTGACTCTGCTGACAGTTATAGATTTCTATGCACTGTGCACTTCAGCATGCGCTGACCCTGCTCTTTCATTTTATGTGGCCTACCACTTTGTGGCTGTAGCTATAATACCACTAACAGTTGACCATGGAATATTTAGTAGCAAGGAAATTTCTTGGATGGGCTTATTGCACAGGTGACAACCTATCACAGAACCATGCTTAAATGCACTGAGCTCCTGAGAGTGACCCATTCTTTCACAAATGTTTGTAGAAGCAGTCTGCATGCCTAGGTGCTTGATTTTATATACCTGTGGCCACGGAGGTGATTGGAACACCTGAATCCAATGATTTGGAGGGGTGTCCCAATACTTTTGGCAATACAGTGTATGTATTCTCCAAAAAATAATCTGTACATAACCATTACTTAACAGCCCTGTAATTTATTTTTCATTACATTGTTTCTTGCTGTGTTTTTCTGTGTAATGCCCTTTGTGAGCACCTGAACCTTTTCTTTTATCCCCTCACTTCTGTTGTTTGGAATGAGCAGTGCATACTAGTTGTGGTCATATAAATTTCTCTATGAATTATACAAAGTCCCTGGTCCATCTTGGGAGTGCAGAATGAGCGTAACCATCCTTTAACAGGAAATCAGATCACGGCAGCAAAAAAAAAAACTGGAGGAGGCTGAGAGCAATAAACAGGTACTTTTTGAATTATAGTGATTGTAAACCTCCACCTATACCCAGTGAAGTGGCAGGTCTCAAGTGATACAGAGAGATGAAACAAATCCTCCTACATATGTTGTACCTGGTTATCTACAGACATCTGTCCCCTACATCCATTCCAAAAGCAGAATTTACACAGTATCTCTCAGCTCTAAAAAGCAGGGGGCAGGAAGCTGAAGTTACTCTCAGTGAGGGGAGCTCTGAGAGCTGATTGGAGGGAAGGGACACACTCCCCTTCCTACAGCTTAAAGGAACAGTGCTGTAGCTGTCAATTACAGGCTGTGCCCTCCCCGTCACCATTTTTCTCTTGGTGTCAGGAAAATGTGTCAGAAGTTACTCTTGCTGATGGAATGAGGCATTAGACAGAAATTACACTTAGTGCTCTGGATTGAGACAAACACACACTAAAGTGGGATATGCTTTGTTCATATTTCATGTCGAGGTTTACAACCACTTTAATAATAAATTCTTGAATATACGTTTTTTCAACCAAAGTTTAGTGTCACTTTAAATTGGAAATGACTAAATCTTACAGATTTAGCTTTAATAATCAGATAAAGTAACATGCTTTTGACAAGTCTTTCAGTACCTAGATTAATGTGAACATGGAATTCCAAATGCATAGGGTGCAGTGTCATTTTTTTTAATCCATTACCAGCAGTAGATCAAGCACTCACAACTCTATGCAGCTGTAAACTAGAGAATCGCAGATTTAAATTTAATCCATTAAAACGAATACTTCCCTGTTAAGAGTGAACAGATAGCTCTATAATTGAAGTGTCCTTTCTGTGTTCTTAGTATAGTGCAATACAATGGAAACCCACTCCAATTGTAATACTACTCTTACACAGCAGGCAAAATCAATTGGACTCATACAGAAGACAGAATGGATGGCTTAAAGATGTTAACAAAGGGTCCCTAGAAAGGTATTCATATTACATGTCCTTATAGTTTCTTCTGCCTAAAACCTAACTTTGCCAGAAAAGTTTTTCTTTTAGTTTTTGATATAGTAGAATACATGGAAAGTATACTTCTAGTTCTTTGTTTGACTCCAGAAACATTTCCCTCATTTCCTGTTCATATAATAACCATACAAAAAAGTTGGAGTGTGGGTGTTACCACAGCAGGAACAGACAGCAATAAAAACCTCAAAGTAAAAACAATTACAATACTACAAATATTTTCTTGTCTGTGTCCCCAAAAAGAGCTTTACCATCACGTTTTGTCCTAAATAAGTAGACAGCTCCCCAAAAACACAGGTAAAAAAATACAGAGACATCCTCAGTGGTGTATTTAGGTTTCATGCTGCCCTAGGCAACACAAAAATCGTTTTCCCCCCCATGGAGATTCCCTGACACTGACAAACACCCCTCCCCCCATAAGAGCCTGACATTGACCAAGAACACCCCACCCCAGTGCCCTTTCTTCCATCCCTTCTTTAAGGGGCAGTGATGCCACTGCCCCCCCTGAAAAATGCTGCTACTCCCCTGAAAAAATGCTGCCCTAGGCAAATGCCTTGTTTGCCTTGTGGTAAATACACCCCTGCTTATCCTAACTCTTCCGTGTCATCCAGAGTGAAATTTAAAAATGTGGCTAAATGTAGACTATAACAGCATATAGATTTCGAATGGTAATTTGTGGGTGCACAGATTAAAACAAATTACAGTTATTCTAACTCTTCTCTACTCCATCCAAAGTAAAATAAAAAAATGACTTAAATTTGGCTTAACAGCATATATTTCAATACAGCTAAAGAACTGACCATACTGTATTCTCAGGCTTAAGGTAGTCAGTTTTATATAAGAAAGCAGATGTACTTGTAGGAACACCAGGGATTTCACAGAAAGGAAACAATACAAAGAACAGGATAATTTTTCATACAAGTACATGGTACAGCAGGCACATATCAGTAATATGAAATGGTAGGTTTACATATTCTTTAACAGCATATACATTCCAAATTGTGTTTTTTTTGGGAGCACAGACTAAAATAAATGAGTTATTCTTCACTGCTCCATGCAAAATGAAATTTAAAAAAATTGGCTGAAGTTTGGATTTCACAGCATAAACATTTCAGATGGTAGTTTTGTCACTTTTATTGTTTAGAAATATTACGCTATAATCTGGAAATACCCCTTTTACAAATCAGGTGTCTCTTTAGCCATTACTAAATTGTTGTTTATTTCTTGTCATGCATTTTTTTAGTCTGTGCTTTTAATCTGCTGTTGCTTTGGGACTTCGGTTTCCTTCTTAGAATTTGAAATGTATGATTGATTGGATTTAATTTAGGAAGATGTTTCGGATAGTCTAATAATTTCTATTTACTTCCCAATATGCTCTTTGCCTTTATAGCTGTGTGCTTTGGAAGATTGTTTTGATGCATGATAAAGAAAATAAAGACTTTTTGATATGCAAAGACTCAAAAAATATCTGCATAAAAATTGAAAGCAGTCATAAATGGATCAGTTCATTCTGCAGTCAGCCTTTTCCAAACGTCATTTTCTGTATTATGGTTTAGAAAGGAAGGGGTGGATAAATGAATGTTTAAAGTAAGATTTTTCAGGCTGAGTCCATAAATCTTTGCTATTTTCTTTGCATTCATTTTGTTGGTTTCTGATTAAATGTGTATAGCTTAGGGTTAGTCACGGAACTACTTTTGTGACGCAATTTAAAATGTATTCGTTACATTCATCCAGTTTGCTATTGTGTTGAAAGCAGCGGTTTCCATCCAGTATTCTGGAGTCTCTACAACTGATGCTGCAGCATTATTTGGTATTTGTAATCCTTAAAGCCAAATTGAACATTTATTTTAAATCATACATATAAAAGTGCAGCACTGATTACCAGAAATTACATAAATTGTGAACAAATTATGACAAACAAGCGAAAAACAACCACTGTGAAGTGATTAAATCCAATCATGTGTCTCCAGTGACTAAAGATAATCAAGTGTATCCAAATGCACTACGTGTCACCCCACTCAGTGCTCAAGGGGGCTTACCAGATGAATTTGACCATCATATTATAGATTGGTCAAATTAGGCACAAGCATACTCAAATGGCAACTGCTCCAGTTTCCACCACAGCCTCCAACTGTATGTCAAACAGTATTCCCGCACTCCAAATGGATGGTCGATATTATGCATATAAAAGGCAGGTACATAGAACAAAAAAGCTTCCCATAGTGTAAAATCCTTAGCAAATTTTACATAAATGGAAGTATTGTACTTACATTAAAGAAAATCCAATACAGCACTGCATAAGGGCAGGAAAACCGCGTGTACCACTTCCAAGATGGCCGTGGGCATGCGTGACGTATGCCCCAGCTCCATTCGACGATTTTGTCAGATATGACATCATCAGGGATCACTGGTGGTGCATTTGGATACACTTGATTATCTTTAGTCACTGGAGACACATGATCGGATTTATGGACATTTTAAAGTGTTCTTTGGCACTGGGACTGATTTAATCATTTCACAGTGGTTGTTTTTCGCTTATTTGTCATAATTTGTTCACAAATTATATAATTTTTGGTAATTAGCGCTGCACTTTTATATGCATGTTTTTTTAATTTTTAGTATCAGAATAAAGTGCTGGCAGCTCATGTGTTTTCTTGACCAGCGCGGATTCTAATGCCATTTTCATTTATTTTAAATCAGTTAAATTTATTGAGTACAATCAAAAGTCTTACAGTTTATTTTTATTGTAAGAGAACCACTCCCAGAATAAATAAGCCTGTGCTTCACAGTATGTCTCAGAGAAGGACCACTGTCATCTGTGTGGAAGCAGCGGTCTCTCTGCAGGTGTCTGACATGCCAGCTGCTAAGTTATAACCAGAGCTGTGCATTCAACAGAGAACATGCACTTTCTCTTTGAAAAGCTTACTTTAAATGGAATTAATGGCAAGATAGGATCTGTTAAATCAAGAAATTAAACCAAGATATATGCAAAGCAAAACCACATATCACTACAAAGGACATGCTGAAAAATGTAACTGACATGAAAGTGGTGGTGCAGTGGTTTATTGCATGACATTACTTGTACAAATATAAATCAATAAATAGTGTCATACGTGAATTCCCTCTCATACGGAATATCCAGTGCACATAGTGAAATAAAACACCATAATTCAATACTGCGAAAAAACACACAATAGTGCGCATCAACTGTGAGCCAATAATTAGTTCAAAAAATTCCGAAATCCACGATGTCTCAGGATTCCCCTCACTGATGATAAGCGTCTCCAGCCTTCACCAAACTATCAGCCAGCTTCTCCCAGGGTCATAATAAAATACAAGCAGAGACCCTCCATAGTGTAACCGGTTTATTGAATAAGTATTTAATTTAAAAAGTAATGCACTCACATTTCAAACGTCTTATCTCCAGCTTTTTTACCACATGCTATGGGTGTACTGCATGGGTATCTGAAATAAGGTGATCCAATATGGCCCCCATGCCGGAAATTACGTCACCACGTTACCGGAAGTTCCTCCCCGCGTACCGATGTGTTGCGTCACATTTAACACGTGACTTCCTCAGGGTACCCTGAAAAATGTTGTCAT